AATAAATAATTATTATGTTTATAAGAAAATTATATTATTAAACCAAATATAAATTACTTCGTTATTGTACCTAAATTAAATTATAAAAAAATTGAATTAAAAAATTACACAAAAAATAAGGAATTTTAAATAGTTAATTTAATACTAATATCGATATATTTTTGTCACAATTTTATGATATTTTCAAACTTATATTTTATTCAAAAATAAAAACATAATCGTTTTCTCAAAATCACATAAGATCATATTATAACATCGACTGAGGTAAAAAATAAAATGAAATATTAAAATCAATATGTATCTCGCTGCATTGCACGAGTACGTTGCTAGTATATATATATATATATATATATCTATACTACATATATAACCATCTAGGTCATTATCTTAATTACAACTCTTGAAACATTTAATTACAAATTTTTATACACAATGTACAAGCCAATATCTCACAACCCCAAATATTAATCGGGTCAAACCAACCTTTTGTTATTAGGCTTTTAAAAATACTCATTTCGGCCGATTTCTTCTTCTTCAGGATCCTATTTCTGCAACGAAAACTCCCAAGACCAAAAGCTTTCTTCTTCTTTCTTCTTCTGTGATTTTTGTCACATACGATCAAAACATTTTGGGATAGATAGCGGATACCTTTCTTCTTTACAGACCTCGTTTAACATAACAATGATGGTTTGAATGTATCAAAATCCTAGAATTTAGAGGTATGCTCTTCAAAACAATATTGATTTTTGCAACCAGATGAGATTTTAACTTCCTTTCTTTTCTTTTTGGTTTAACCGATTGATGAAGCAAGGCTATTTACAACTTTCAGGTAAGAATCCTCTTTTATTGATAATTTTGCTTAGTATGCGATTGATTGATAATCTTTTCATATAGTTGGTCATGTGAGAAAAACACATATTCTGTCATATTCCCATTTGCAAGGCCACATTTACATACATACTTGTTAGGATCACAAATCATACTTACACACACACACACACACAAAAAAAAACCTTCTGTTTACGATGAAGATGTTTTCAAGGTTCTTTCTATCCCCTATCTATCATCTAAAAACCCGACCAGTAAATCCCATGCAGAGATATGGTCTGGGGGTGGTAGGATGTACATAGACCTGTCTCTATCCAATGGGGTAGTGACAGGGTAGAGACCTCTATCTATCACTTTGAATTCCAATATTACCCTTTTTGCCTCTCAATTTTTATTATAGCATTCTACTTTTGTTTTTTCTTATTACAGCAATGTACTTTCAAATTATTTTTTATTAAGGTATCATACTTTAAAAAATCTACCCATAATAGCAATGGGTAACCTGTTACCTTTTAAACTGGTTAACCCCTTGACTTTTTTTGCTTGTGTGGCTTTAATGAGGTGATGTGGATGACACATCACTTTGATGATTTAACTAAAATAAAAATAAAAACCTATTTCAAATTATTATTAGTGATTTTTCATTTTTCATTGCTATGATCTAGAAAACATTTAATTTTTTTTTGACTTTTTCTTATTAAGTTGCATACAATTTAAATATTATAGAGTAAAATATTTTTAAATAAATATGAAACATTATTTTTGAGATATATTATATTTGTAAAAAAAGTAATACTTATGTTGTTCAAATACATACATATATTTTAAAGTTCTTTCAAATGTTAACGAAATAAATTGTGATATACACTTTTTAAATATTATTATATTAATAAATAATTCAAAAAAATCTAATTACTTTAATATATTTATACGTCAAGTAGAATTTTTTAAACAAATATAATACATTCTTTAAAAGATAATATTTTTTGGTAAAAAAAACAATTCTTTTTTTCTTTTCTTTTTTTCAAAAAACACATTTTTAAAAAAATGTTAGCGAGATAAGTTGTGTTCTACTAGTTTTATTAATATTAGTATATTAATGTATAACTTAATTTTTTTAATTCATTTAATATATTTATTAAATAACATGTAAAATATCTAAATATTAAAATTAAAAATACAATATTTAAAAAACAGCTAGTAGATGTTATATTAAAATAATTTTGAAAGTACAATGATGTAGTAAGAAATTCACATCACTATAGTACATGTGGACAACCTACATGGACAATTAGGTGGCATGAAAACCTGGTATAATATGTAAATTTAAATCAAAAGATTACCTAATGTTATAATGGGTAAGTTTTTCAAAGTACAATGTTCCAATAAAAAAAAGTTTGAAAGTACATTACTGTAATAAGAAAAACTGGAGTACAATGCTGTAATAAATAAATTTATGAAAGTAAATTGCTATTGTATATTTTGCCCAATATAATTTATCAACTTTTATGTAGCCAGAGATCAACTCTTAATTCATTTCTTTTACAATAAAGCATGTAAAAATATTGTCATTAAAATAATTTAATTATAGATTAAAATTTGATTATATGTTTATATTCTCATAATCGAATCAATCATGTAATTTACAACCCCACCCATGACCATATAATTTCTATGAATACAGAACTAAGACTTCATCTCTATACAAACAACTAAACACTTCCAAAACATCGGTTTTTCGAGTTATTAAGCCACCAACTGAGCCTCCTCGTTATCTGGGACCACGATATCGAGCCTCATCATCGGTCTATACTTCCGAGGTACCAGAGCCCCTGCCTGCACACAAAGCTCAACCACAGCTGGAGCCTTCCCGTAGAACCTCTTGAGCGAACTCTTCAATGGCGGTCCTTCTAGATCCACCACATGCCACACGTAATTTGGCAGGAAAACCTCGTCCACCACCGCATCCTGCCACCCATGCTTTCCGTCTCTCCATTGGTGCTTAAACTCTCCGCAAAGCTTCGTGTTGTGGCCCCACGGTCCCACGTGGACCTCCGAGCAGTACCCACACGCCTTCACCGTGTACTTCTTTCATAAGTTTCGTCACACCCCATTTCATTTTCTCGTATGCGTTCAGTGTCGCCTGAGCAATTCCAACCACATTGGAGTCTGCTGGCGGCGGGAACCGCTCAAGAGCCCGGTACTTGTCGTGTTCCAATGTCTCGGCGGAGTGTGGTGGCTTGGGTGGCGGCTCAACRATTCCACCTCRGTCGATCACTTTCTTTCCCAKCATTCGGATAGGCTGGGTCCTTCGTCGTGAAGRGTATTCTGRTAATTCCACACCGSCTTGGATGCAGAGCTCCACAACAGCCGGGATTCTATCGTGGTTGAATCTTGTTTCGTGTTTGACTCGGGTACCAAAAGGATCATATTGATGATATGACTCAATTGGGAGAAGGATGTCGTTAATCGAACCTTTGACCCATAAATGGAAGCTTCTCCGATACGCATTCTTTGGACCATGGCAATTCTGAATGTTGTGGCCGGTTTGAGCCACGTGAACCTCCGAGCACTCACTGCATAAGAACAACCCGAAAGCAACATGATGATGAGTTGCCAACATCTGATAGAAAGGCTATTGATGTCAGAAATACTTGAAAGTATTTTATATGTTAAATCTTTAAGTCCCACAATGAAACAATGAAAAAGAGACACAGTTTTAGCAATCTGTAATTCTAACACTTCTTATTTAACTAGGTGACAATTTTACTCTTAATGATACATGGTGTAATGAATTTCTCGTTCTCATAAGTAAGGATAGAATCGGAAAGCTACTCCAAATAGTTTTTTCAACAAGCTCCAAGTGCTTTTTTCCACCTTTTTCCCGATTATKCCCCTTATACTAAATAAAATACTTTTTCAACATGTCATTTTAGATCATTTCACATTGTCATCTAGGTTRTCAAGTAGTTTTCACCGAACGTGACTATTCATCAGCCAGCTTATCGGCTAACAACCAGCTTTTCAGACAACAATTTGTTTTTTTTTGGGGGGGGGGGGGGTTTGGAGGTGTTTGACAAACCTGCAAGCATGGACAGGAATGACATGAAGAAGTTGTGAAACTCCTTTGATCAAGATCTTCCAAGCATCAAGAACTTCACAGGCAACTGGAACCAGATCAGGAACAAGAAGCCCGTTCTTCGGAGGCTCAAGTGGCTTCTCTTTCCCCATTTCTGCAAGTTTTTTGTCGGCCCGTGAAGCTTCCAGAATTTTCTTCAGAGGAATTGGATACGGTTTCTTCTTTCTCTTGGGTAATATGGGAGAAAGATCTGCATTTTGCGGGTGGCTCAACCGTTTCTTGCTGTAACGAATATCACGAGCAGGCATCTGGCAAGCAAAAATGGAGGTTCTTGATGTTTGTGGCCCATGTAGTTCATGTGTACACCGAATGTATTAGTTTCCAGGATACGCATAATTATATTAATTCGGGGAAGAAAGAAAAGAAAAGAAGACGTTGGAATTTTCAGGGGATAGAGAGGACATATAAACACAACAGATGGAAGAAAGGCTAAAACTTGAACTGATTAAGAACAAACCTACTCCAATATATCCTTCCCCCAATGATACCAAGTAAACAACTGACTTGAAGATTATATTGCAGAACATAAGTCGAAACAAGAACTGATTTACAAAAAGGGACTTCAAGTATCCAAAAGGATTCAAATGAGACAGTCCCTATTTTTACCAAAACAAGGACTGATTTGAACACGTTGCCAAATGCCAATTCTTTAAAACCACATTGTACTAAAGCAAAATTGCAATCATTGAAATCCGTCAAAATTTCTAAAGCTACTACAAACCAAGAGTGAAAAAAGATGAATCAATTATAAGAAGCAACATGAAATATACAAAAAAGAATCAAAGAAACTAATTTCTATTAACATTGAACTCCCATCATCAAAAACCCAGTTGAAATTCTAAGTCTAAAGCAATACACAAGTAAATATATCCAGAAAAGGTCTAAACTTGGGCACCTTTTAGTCTCCTTTTCCACCAATATATCCTTCTTTTCTCCCTTCGAATCCAGGCCTCATGAGCTTCTTCCTCATCTTCTTCTGGCTGGCTCTCTCCTCTACGTTCCCTCTTCTCTTTGCTTGCTTCTCCTCCCTCATCTTCTCCACAATCTCTTCCCTCTCTTTCCATTTCCCTGCACTCTTCAAAAGCATTGGATCATCATGGACCTTCACCTCCATTGCCTTTTCAGTCGCAGCCTTCCATGAATGCAATCTTCGCCGTAATTCCTCATAACTAACAGACTTGTTAACCGGCTTCACTATAATTTCAATTTCCTCCTGTTCTTCATCCGAATCCTCATTCCTACTGACGATCTTTTTTAGGAGATCTAGGGTTGTTGTTTGTGCTTTCTCGGGGTCGAGGCGATCGCGGCGGGATTTCTTGATGTTTTCTCGTGTTTGTTGTTTAAGGGAGGCCTTTTTACCTTTACTGAGGCCTTGGAACCAGGGTTTTGAATCTTCGTCGGTGGGAAGGTAGAATTTTGCAGGGATCAATTCGATTAGCTTGTCGAAGAACTGATCGTGGTCATGGATTAAGGTTTTCAGGTCGGCGGCGGCGGCGGCGGCGGCGGTATCAACGGTGGGGGAAGTGGTGGAAAGATTCTTCATCGCGGTGGAAAAACAGGCGAACTGGAGGGTTTTGTGTTTCTAGTGTTTTGTGTTTCTAGGGTTTGTGTGTGATATTTATAGGGTTTTGTGTTTATAGGGTTTGTATGATGATAATTCATCAAAAGATTTGATGTATATTTTATTTTCTTGCTTTGTTATAATCATTTACCGTAGATAAATATGATTAAATACATGATAAATATTTTATTTTAAATATTAAAAAATTCAAAATATAATTAAGATAATAATTGAATTTTAATATAATATTTAATTATTATCTTTATAAAATGTTAATATAAATTAGGATAAATATGGATCGGTTACGGTTCAACAGTCTGAGATCAGTTAAATTTTTTATGGAATTTCAAAGTCTGACACAAGAAAAGTTACGCTGTAATCAATATAGGGAACTTAACTTATTGTCTCATATTTATCGTGACATGGAATAAAACAAAAACTCATTGTTTCATGTTTGACGTGACAAGAAATAGTGACAAGGATAAGGTCTGAGATTGGATGGGAGAAGGTTAGACAGAAAAAATTGGTTGGGTTAAATACATGAAATATCAATTTAATATCACAAATTTTTTTATTGTAATATTATACTTTCATTTTTTTTTTCTTATTACAACATTATATTTTGAATTTATTTTTTATTAAGGTATAAAATATTTACTTATTATAGCAATGAGTAAATTTTTTATTTGAATTAAGGTGAAATAACATGTGTTTTACCAAGTTTTTATGTCATGTCATTGTTACCGTGCAATATATTGATGACTAACATTTCTTATTACAACATATTATTTAATAAATATATTAAAAAATCTAAATTATTTAGTAATATAATAATATTAAGAAGACTTATACATCACAATTTATCTTGTTAATATTTAAAAAATGTTAAAAATGTATTTTTTAAACAAAGAAACTAATTTTTTCTTACAAACAAAATATTTATATTGATATAACATATTCGTTTTAAAAAAATGATTTGAAATATTATTTAATAAATATATTAAATTAATTGTAAATTTTCTAAATTATTTATTAATATAACAATATTTAAAATATTTATAAAACATACTAGAAGGGTATTCGCACAATGGAACGAGATATATATCTTCATTTTATTGTTTTGTTTTGTTGTTTGTCTCTGTTGATATAATATGATTTATGTGGTTTTGAGAAAAAGATAATGTTTTTACGATTTAGTGAGGTAATTTATTTTTCGTTTAACAATAAAATTTTATAAAGATAATGATTCTGTTATAACTCATTGATTGTCCTAATTATTTCTTAGATTTTTTATAAAACAAGCAATATACATCGCCCGTTATACCATGAAAGTTGGCCATATTCGAAGCCGTTACCTTAACCTTAAGAAAAGGGATGCCAAAAAGCAATATTATCCGGTAAATAATATTTAAGTATTTGAAATATATGTTTTAAACCATCAAATTTTAATAAAAAAAATTCCAAAATTATATCATAAAAAAAGTACTTATTAAAATTTGTGGTTGACTCTGATATTCATGATTCATCTCTTACCGTATAAATATTTTGTAATTTAGAGTCCCAATGCCATTTTGCATGGTTGGCTTGTAGTTGGATTTGAATACCAAAAGCACAAAAATGACACCTATTTGAATTTTTTTATCTTTAATCGATGATTAAATATGTATTATAATAAAACTAGAAGGGTACTCGTAGAATACATCGAGATACATTTTAATTTTAATGGTTTTTTTATCTCTATCGATGTTATAATATGGTTTTAAGAAAGCGATAATGCTTTTGTTTTGAAATAAAATATAAATACGAAGATATCTTTAAAAAAAAATATTGATATTTATTCTAAAAGATATAAATATGAAGATATCATTAAAAAAATATAAATATGAAGATATCATTATAATAAAACTAGAAGGGTACCGGAGCCCCTGCCTGCACACATAGCTCAACCACAGCTGGAGCCTTCCCGTAGAACCTCTTGAGCAAACTCTTCAATGGCGGTCCTTCTAAATCCACCACATGCCACACGTAATTTGGCAGGAAAACCTCGTCCACCACCGCATCCTGCCACCCGTGCTTTCCGCCTCTCCATTGGTGCTTAAACTTTCCGTCTCTCCATTGGTGCTTAAAAATGGAGGTTCTTGATGTTTGTGGCCCATGTAGTTCATGTGTACACTGCAACTACACCGAATGTATTAGTTTCCACGATACACATAATTATATTTATTCGGGGAAAAAAGAAAAGAAAAGGAGACGTTGGAATTTTCATGGGATAGAGAGGACATATAACACAACAGATGGAAGAAAAGCTAAAACTTGAACTGATTAAGAACAAACCTACTCTAATAAATTCGATCCTAAGATGAAAGCTGCCTAAGGAGGAAAATGAGAACCTAAACATGAGAACTGTGAGAACCAATGAACCATGTGTTGTTTCACATTGTGAAACAAACAAATAAATAAATATATATATATATATATATATATATATATGAAACAATACCTTAAATCCTAGCCTTAGATGAAAAAGTCATATGAAACAATCATTACGATTGGTTCCCACGGGTTTGTAATCTTTTTGTGGTTCTCACATAATTATCCCCATATAACCTAATATATGCATCTTTAACCTGCAAAGAAAGTTTAACATACAAACATGAACCGAGCGAAATCATCATAGTCAACTTAAGTTGACAACAACGTTAATAAATGAACTTAATATTTGAGATGATATCATTGCGATTGCAATGCTTAAAGTACCTGGCGGCATTTGTCAAAGAAGAGGGACGAAATGTACTCATTGAAGCGTAAGTCATGCATATAAGAACAATCAACTACATGCAAGATACACATTGCCTATTTTAGGTGTTGCACAGTATTGTCAATTTCAAAAGCTTTTTAAAGAAAAAAAATTTATGCTGTTAATCCTACCGCTATAGCGGTGGTATCGCAGTTCGTAGTGGCAAAATAGCAGGGGAAACCGCAGTGCTAGCTAGTTGTCCTTCATTCTAGCTCGCTCTAGAACTCGACTATTTTCTTGGTTTTTACTTCTCTAGCCCTCTTCTCCACAGAGCCGTGAATAGTTCTTCTCTTTTCTTATAATTGTTAGTGCGATAGCCACTATATCAGATGATTATACTAATCATTATACCACTATTTTACCATTGCGATAGCCACTATATCAGATGATTGACAAAATATCTGGTATAACAAGCGCAAGGATTGAATATTAGGAATTTGTTGTGGTAGCCAATCAAAATCACAAAGCAATGGAAGACTCAAAATCATAAAGAACCCACAGTAGCCATTCTAATAAACCACAGTAGCTGATTTCGAAAATGGTTGTCGATTTCGAAAAACGATTTTAAATTATCATCATTCAAAAACAGAGTTCTGCTTTATACCTTGGATCCTGCTTGAATCTAAAACAATGTTTCCAACGAATACTACTTTCCCATCGGGTTCCATGCCATTTGGTAAAGATAACAATTCCACGATCATGCATCAAAATCAAAATTACCTTCCCCGAGTCCAAGTTCTTGCAAGACTTGGCATCGATGATAGTCCACCATGTGATCTACACCATGTTCTTCTCCCTCTTTGCAATCTTCCTCATCTTCTTCTGGCTAGCTCTCTCCTCTATGTTCCCTCTTCTCTTTGCCTGCTTCTCCTCCCTCATCTTCTCCACCGTCTCTACCCTATCTTTCCATTTCCCTGAACTCTTTTCACGCCTCTTCTTCTCCTTCTGCAAACTCCTCTTCAAAAGTTTTGGATCATTATGGACCTTCACCCCCATTGCCTTTTCAGTTGCAGCCTTCCATGAATGCTTTTTTGCCACCACCACATCTTCTTTCTTAGCCTCCTTCAACTTCTTTGCCTTCTCCAACTCCTTTACTTTCGAACCCTTCTTCCCCTTCTTCTTACTCCCGTCTTCATCTCCCAATTTCACTTTTCCGAATTCAAAATCAACCTCAAAATTCTCCTTACCACTACCAGAACCGCCACCGCCGCCACTTTTATCGTAGTCTTCCCTCTTCCGCTTCAGGTTGGCGGCGGTATCAACGGCGGCGGAAGTGGTGGAAAGCTTCTTCATCGTGGAGGAAAAAGAGGCGAACGGGGTTTTGTGTTTCTAGGGTTTGTTTGATATTTTGCTTGAATACCAAATTATAAATTATAAAATTATATATTTATAGGGTTTTGGTGTTTAATAGGGTTTGTATATAATTCATCAAAAGATTTGATGTATACTTTACGGGTAGAGGGGGTCTTGATAGTTTTAAATTTTGTGCTAATCATTTTTTTTTTGTTATAAACATCAACTCAATTAATTATATATTTATATTTTATTAATTTTATTTTATTTTATATATTTATATTAAAAATATATATTATTTTATTATTTCATGTTATATTATTATTTTATATTTATTAATAAATAAAATTAAGTAATAAAAACTTAAATACTTACTTCTAAAAAGATGATTTCCAAGACTACCCTTTTG